CCTTACCCCTCACCCCGCCACACACACACACACACACACATACACAGAGTCAAACAAGCCGGACTATTACTCACAAGCCATTGCTCCCCCCTTCACCGTAATTGTCTCAAAGTTGGTTGGCGGCGGTGGTGAGGGTCCTTGAGGTTGGCGAAGAGGGAAGTACGGGAGGGAGTGGGGGAGGGGGAGAAGAGAGGGATGGATGGTGGTGGTGGTAGGGGAAGTAGCAGGAATTATCGTGCAGGCAAGCAGAAGTTGGGAGAAGTTTGAGGGGTAAGGGCGGAGACAAGTCGAGAGAGTCAACTCTTAGATGTGACACCGAGCGGCGAAAATTACTTTCTCTCTCTCTCTCTTGCTATCAGGTCAGCCATGTCAGCATCCTTTGTGGGTCCGCGACTTGGCTTTCAACTCTTGTGGTTTCGAGAAATTGAATATAGGGGATTGTGATCAACTTTTTTTTAATGTTTGCAGGAGCTTTGCGGTTTGGCTATCTGTTCAACTTTATCCCTTTATCGCTTTCTATATTTTTCTATATTATTCTATTCTGAGATCTATTTACATGTCTCTCTAACACATATATCTCTGTAATATCTTCATATATTCTCTCAATTCGTTCCTCAAAATCGTAAAACCTCAGCCCCTAGCGACAGCTCTGCACCAACTCTGTCTCTGGTCACTTCAATTGCTGCAGAATCACATTTTCACGTTTGAAATTAATTTGAAACAATCTGAGACTTACAGTATATTCTTCGTCTTCATTTATTACTCAGAGCTTTTTAACAATCGAAGAAACATTTCGCTTATAATTTTTCGTTTGCTTCTTCATTTTATTCAAATTTTAAATTTTTGCCTTTCATCACGTTTTTGTTATTCGTGACTGCCAAACTCTTCCTCTACTCTCGCAATGGTAAGTTCTCAAAGTTTCTACAGGCTACGTGGTGTAGTCAGTCAGGCGTGCCCACTGTACTTTCTCCTTTACTCTCGTGTGGTAAAACGTTCCCTTGTTAGATAATTTACGATTACATAGGCCCGCGGTTCACTTTCTCTACCATTAAGTTATTACCAAGAGTCGGTGTTGAATTATTTATGGAAAATGGGACGATTGACTCACATGTGACATTTACTACACTATATGTAATGAGGCCACCATTTCATCTCTCTCACACACACACACACACACACACACACACACACACACACACACACACACACACACACACACACACACACACACACACAGACACACACACACACACACACACACACACACAGACACACACACACACACACACACACAACATCATTAACACACACACACACACACACACACACACACACACACACACACACACACACACTCTCGTCTCCCAAGGTAGGTGAGACGACACTGGTTTGTTCATGACATATCCCATGACTTTCAATGACCCTGAAGGCTTCATGTCCATGCTGCGCACTGTTCCAGGAAGCCTTGTCTCGCTAGCAGCCAAGTTGGATGGGAGGACATACAATTGCAGCCAACCTACGTATTCCGTCGCTGTTGTAAGGTGATATTGCAATTGCAGGGACGTCTCGAGGTCTCTGTCCGCTTGGCGACACCCCCCCCCTCCCCCGTGCTTTGTTTGCATGCCTGTCTGTTTGAATGTTGATTTAATTTTCCTTCCTCTCTTTCCCCCCTCTCCTTTCTTTCCTCCTTTCCTGAGCTCTTCTTCTTCCCTCCCTTATTTCTTCCCCATCCACTTCCCTTCCTACTGGCCAGCCTCCCTACCTACCTACCTCCTTTACTATCCGTTTACATGCCTTCCCTCCTTACATGCCTCCTTCCCTCCATCTCTCCCCTTAACCTTCCTACCTCTCTCCCTACCTGCCAGCCTGCCGGAAACCTCCCACTGAAACGCTTCCCGACGGAGATACAACAGCTTCGTGTGGTGCCAAGTTGTGGAGTATTGTTGTGTTGCAGATAGTTCCCGCCTCCCATCGTTGTCTCCAGGCGGTATTGATTCTCTTAATTTGCATATTTGGAGGATGTGTACAGCGACCAACGAACACGCACGCACACACGCAAGCACACACGCAAGCACACACATATAAACCTATACACAGACGCGAACACGAACGCACTCAACTATTTATTTATGTACATGTATAACCAACCACGACCAAGCACAGACACGTGAGTACACATATATATGAGCTTTTACAAACACACACACACACACACACACACACACACACACACATTTTAACTCTTACTATTGGAAATCTTTATTTTCTCTCCTTTTCTACCCCCCCCCCTTTCTCCCCCTCTCTCTCTTCTTTATTTTTGTTTCTGCCTTTTACACACTTTCCCTTTGTCTCTTGTTCATCTCCTTTTTTATGTCTATCTGTCTGTCTGTCTGTCTGTCTGTCTGTCTGTCTGTCGGTCTGTCTGTCGGTTTGTCTGTCGGTCTGTCTGTTGGCCTGTCTGTCTGTCTGTTCTGCCCGGTTCGTTTGTCTGTTCACGTCTGTTTGGTCTGTCGGTTTGTCTGTCGGTCTGTCTGTCAAACATCACAAGTGGTCAAGTTTCCTCAGGGTCAGAGGTTTGTGGTGCTCCTTGCCTCAACACGCTCGGTCCTCCTCCTCTTAATTGTCAACTAGTGTGGTAATTATTATCATTTTGGTGGAGTTAATAAAAAAAAAGATGGAACTATGTAATGAGAAAACAAAGAAAATTACCCCAGTCAGTTGTTCCCTTAATGAAATAATTCTTACTTATGTAAATAGAAAGGTCATACATATCATTAAATTACAGTAAAGTGACATAAAGTAAGATTAATAGTTGCTAGCTATTAAAAAATACTGCTTATGTACTTACCGAGGGCCATCCGAATGACTTCATATCGTGGTGACGTCGGAACCTAATGACATCATGGCTTCACATTCAGATGTTTGTAAAAAATAATCCCACACGCACACACACACATAGTCACAGTAATTATTAGAGAAGGTAAATTTTAATATAAGATTATTATGATTAGCTGCTCAAAAGGTCGTTGTGTATAAAGATGTCATAAACATGTAAATTTTTTGTTCGCTCCTTTCTTAGTTTTTTTTTTTTACGTCTTTTCAATCTTTTATTCATATTTCATAATATTCTTTAGAGTTATGTTCACGTATTGTCACATTAGAAATTTTGCACAAGCACTTACTGTAGAAAATATTAAAGAACACTGTTGCAATACACCGTCACCGTCATGTAAACAAACTCGTCTGGCGAAAAATGCTGCGCCTTTATCATTTCACAATATCATAACTTTTTTCTATTTTATACGATAATCAATATTACAGAAAAATAATAATAGTTCAAATTATATAAATTAAATTCAACGTCACAGCCAAGGAGCTTTAAATACTCGGTCACCTCACAGGCATTTAAAAGGTGTACCGCCGCTCACTCTGCCATTATGTCGACCAGTGTCCAATAGTGACAATAATTTGCTCTTGAATTACCGTTATTCTGTGCTTGTGTGACTTTCCCAGAATAGTAATTTACAGAAACAACCTTCAGAGGAATTTTTGAAATGATATTCAGTGGATTATGAAGCAAAGGAATGTAATAGGAGACGAAAACAATGCCGTTGTCCATTTATTTGTTCCAGTGATCGCTGGCAACGTTCTATAAGAAGTTACCTACTAAATTTTAGTACTTGTAATATAGAGCGATACTATATACACCTTTAATTGTTCAAAGTGAGAAAAAGTGATACATTAAAATGATTTAGTGGTAAAATAAAACAGATAAGTGGTGGCGAGTGTGTGTGTTGCGACGTGAAGCCATGACGTCATCAACCAGCGATCGGTGAGTCCTCAAACAATATTACAACAAATAAACTTAATAAGCTTTTGCTCATTACTTTTCAGTCAAAATTTTATATTGAACAATTTTTTATTGGTAAAATAATTATATTAACCATTTTATTCAAAGATTTAATCAAAGGACCTTTAAATCTCCTTGATTTAAGTGCTGTTTTAGCCCACTTGTTATTTTTTTTTAATTATTTGTTCCAAAGTGTCTAAGTCCTTTCATATTTAAATGAATGTTGTTAATTTAGTGTCAATGTGGACTGAAAGCTTATTATATTTATAATGTACGAGTTGTTACATAATATGTTTAGAATTTTAGCGTTCGTAAATGCTCAGATGTGATGTATAATAATAATAATAATAATAATAATTATAATAATAATAATAATAATTATTAATTATTTTTATTATTAAATATTCTTATTATATATATTTCGTTGTATTTTATCATATTCATTTTACACTAACTGTAGTGTATATCTCGTGATCTTTAAAAGTATTGATAACAAGTGACCGTGCAGTACACCCCCCCCCCCTCCACACACACAAACACAAATGCAACAAAGTCTTATCCCTGGTATTGTTGGCCATAAACTAGGAAAATGCTTGGACAGCAAGACAGAATACCCCGGTGAGTGATATGTTTGTGTATGAGAGTTGGGCTATTTTAAAGTGTTATTTATACCCAGGTATTACCAGTCCTGTATATATGTGATATAAGTAAGTGCAGTAAGAATTGTATGCAGGAGATGCTTTATAAGTTATTTGTGGAGTAAAAATACAAATAATATTAATTTATACTTTATTTTTAGTTTTCACAAAAACATAAACAAAAAGAAAACAACGTAGATTATTAATCACTTTTGTTTCATAGCAGTTTTCAGGCGGCGCTCCTTGGCCATGGCCCGGGCCTGTTGGGCAGCAGCTTTACGGGCTTCAGCGACCGTGTTAGTTGGGTGCTCAGCCTTTGATTTGAGATTACCTTTGGCCCCTGGGACCAAGGTATTCTTGGCTTGGTGAGGAGGCCTATTAGCCCGGGCCTGTTGGGCAGCAGCTTTACGGGCTTCAGCGACCCTGTTGGTTGGGTGCTCAGCCTTTGATTTGAGATTACCTGTGGCCCCTGGGACCAAGGTATTCTTGGCCTGGTGAGGAGGCCTATTGGCCTTGGGCTTTTGGGCAGCAGCACTACGGGCAACTTCTTGGGGAGTGTCCCCTTCGGTGGCCACCTGAGGACTCTCCTCTTCGGTGGCCACCTGGGGACCGCTGGCTTCGGTGACCATTTGGGTTTTCTCCCCTTCGGTGACGACCTGGGGACTCTCCTGTTCTGTGGCCACCTGAGGACTCTCCTCTTCGGTGGCCACCTGGGGACCGCTGGCTTCGGTGACCATTTGGGTTTTCTCCCCTTCGGTGACGACCTGGGGACTCTCCTGTTCCGTGGCCACCTTGGGACTCTCCTCTTCGGTGGCCTCCTGGGGACCGCTGGCTTCGGTGACCTTTTGGGTTTTCTCCCCTTCGGTGACTACCTGGGGACGCTCCTGTTCTGTGGCCACCTTGGGACTCTCCTCTTCGGTGGCCACCTGGGGACCGCCGGCTTCGGTAACCATTTGGGGACTGTCACTTGTTGAGGAGAAGGAATCAACACATTGGTTGATGACCCCCCATACTTTCTTTGCATTATCTTGCATTATGCAAATTGTTTCTGTATTGAAGCATTCTTTTTGATAGGCTATTTTGAATCTCCTCAATAACACTGGAGGATACACCACATATTCAAATCTGGCGTACCCCTCCTTAGTTTGTCTTCCACACTTGGCGGAATAATAGAAAAATATCTCATTGTCTGGGATATTTATCAGTTTTTTTACCTCTTGCCGTAGGTACGCACATCCTTGTACTACAGTCATGTTGTGGTAACGGAGGTCTTCCAGATCTGCAATTTTATCCAACACAAAGTTTACGTTTGTGTTGGCGGGAATTTCAAGGGAGACGCTGTAGCCCACGACCCTTACACCATTTAACTTTGTGTAAGCCTCGGCTAACTCGTCGACCGAGCTACGGAGTTTGCTAGCAGATGCCAGGAAAAAACTTTTGTCGTATTTTCTCATTTTGACCACTTCCTGGGGAGTGTCACTGTCGGTGACCACCTCCTGGAGAGTGTCACTCTCGTTGACCACCTCCTGGGGAGTGTCACTGTCGGTGACCACCTCCTGGGGAGTGTCACTGTCGGTGACCACCTCCTCTGGAATGTCACCGTCGGTGACCACCTCCTGGGGAGTGTCACTGTCGGTGACCACCTCCTTGGGGGTGCCCCTGTCTGTGACCACCTCCTGGATAGCGTCACTGTCGGTGACTACCTCCTGGGGAGCGTCACTGTCGGTGACCACTTGGGGACTGTCACTTGTTGTGGTGAAGGAGGCAAGGCCTTCGTTGATGAGCTGCTATGATTTAATAGCATTATCTAGCATCACGCAAATAGTTTCTGTGTTGAAGCATTCTTTTTGAAAGTCTAATTTGAATTTCTTCAATACCACTGGAGGATACACCACATATTCATATCTGTAGTACCCCTCCTTAGTTTGTCTTCCGCACTTGGCGGAATAATAGAACATTATCCCCTTGTCTGGT